ATATTCAAATAGAAAACAGTTATTTTAAATGGTAATAATATTTCAAAAATTTTCTGAGTTTACTGTATTTTTGATCAAATAAATGCAACCTTGCTGAGCAGAAGTTACTTTTTTTCAAAACCATAAAAAAAAAAAAATGTACAGACCCCAAACTTTTGAACGGTAGTGCAGGTCAAGAATTATATTTTAATTAAGAACATGTACAAGTAAAACATTTAGTATTATTATAATAATAATAGTTCATTAAATTCTGTAATGGATGCACAATTTTTAACTGACAGATCAAAACCCTGTATGTTAAATATAGTTATTAATTAAGACTGATCAGCAAAATTCATTGAATTACATTTACGATTTTTGTCAGTGGTCAGTTTAAAGTTCACAATTTTTATATATATATATATATATATATTTATATATTTATGACCCTGGAGCACAAAAGCAGTCATAAGTCGCTGGGGTATATTTGTAGCAATAGCCAAAAATACATTGTATTGATTTTTCTTTTATGCCAAAAATCATTAGGATATTAAGTAAAGATCATGTTCCATGAAAATATTTTGTCAATTTTCAACCGTAAATATATCAAAACTTAATTTTTGATTAATAATATGCATTGCTAAGAACTTCATTTGGACAACTTTAAAGGTGATTTTCTCAATATTGACCCTCAGATTCCAGATTTCCAGACTCGGTTTCAAAAAATTGACCCTTATGACTGGTTTTGTGGTCAAGGGTCACACACACACACACACTCACATACATGCGTTTGCCATTGACAGACTGATGGATCTGGTATATATATAATTTTACAAGGTATGATTCAGTCTAACAGATCTTTATATTTCATTGTTTGTTTTTCAGCATGAAAACAACATCGTCCATCGCGACCTGAAAGCAGAAAATATTTTTTACACCACATGCTACTGCATCAAAGTGGGTGACTTTGGTTTCAGTGTTGTCAGTGAGCCGACCGAAACTCTGAGCACGTTTTGTGGCTCCCCGCCGTATGCGGCCCCTGAGCTGTTCAGAGACAAAAGCTACGTGGGCCGTTATGTAGACATCTGGGCACTGGGCGTCCTACTCTACTTTATGGTGACCGCCACCATGCCTTTCTACGCCAACAACTTAGGCCGACTGAAACGCTGCATCCTGCAGGGGGCGTACAGCATCCCGCCCTACGTCCCTGAGCCCTGCCAACTGGCCATCAAAGGCATGCTGAGACCCGTACCTGTGGACCGGACCACTGTGTCACAGCTGATAGTATGCTCCTGGCTGAGGGGCATCGAATACCCCAAACCCTATCCTGCTTTCAGCGCGACGCCCAATTACCTGGCTGACCCTGTGGAGAGTCTGTGTGTGGAGGAACAGGAAGTGAAGTCGGCCCTGAGCGAGCTGGGCATCAGTGGCACGCACCTGCAGAATAACACCTGCTCTGACTGTCGCAGCCCAATAACAGGAATTTATCGTATCCTGCTGCACCGCATCCAGAAGAGGAGATCTGTGGAAGCGGTAGGATATTCCGCCCTGTACCCGGAAGATTTTGGTACCAAGAAATACTGGGCCAACAACGCAACTGCTACGCACAATCCTTCTGCAGTGTGTAACGTCTTATGAAGACCTCCTTTTAATGGTTCATGGGTGGATAATGTGTTTGATGCCATGCTTCAGGAAGTAATGAATTTACACGTATGAAATTGTGCTGTTTTTTGCGATTAATTACAAATCCCAGCATCCCAGAATCGATCCCAAGATCAGTCTTTTACATTTAATCATATTTTTGTAATATACCAAATTAAAAGGTTTCCTTTATTTGGTGCTTATCTGCTGCTGAATCTAGTACTGTATGGGATTTAATGACAGCGCGACAAGTGTAGCCCGCTTGCTGAAATGAATGACTCTTACGAGTCGGTTCATAATAGCGAATCAAAAACCTACAGCACAACAAGTGAAGCCTGATTCCCAAAACGAGTGACTCTTGATGAGTCGGTTCTTTTTAATGAACCTAAATGCAGTGCAACAAGTGTAGCCTGATTCCCAAAACTGCTCTTACAAGACGGTTCTTTTTAATGAACCTAAATACAGTGCATCAAGTGTAGCCTGATTCCCAAAATGAATCACTCTTACGAATCGGTTCTTTTTAATGAACCTAAATGCAGTGCAACAAGTGTAGCCTGATTCCCAAAACTGCTCTTACAAGACGGTTCTTTTTAATGAACCTAAATACAGTGCATCAAGTGTAGCCTGCTTCCCGAAACGGCTCTTACAAGATGGTTCTTTTTAACAAATCAAGAACATACAGTGCATCAAGTGTGGCCTGATTCCCAAAATGAATCACTCTTACGAATCGGTTCTTTTTAATGAACCTAAATACAGTGCATCAAGTGTAGCCTGATTCCCAAAATGAATGACTCAAGCCGGTTATTTTTAGTGAATCAAAATACAGCGCAGCAAGTGTAGCCCAATTCCCGAAATCTTATTTTTAACAAATCAAAAACATACTGTGGAACAATTTCAACCTGATTCCCGAAACAAAAGAACTGGTTCTTTTTAGTGAATCAGTGCAACAAGTGTAGCCCGATTTCTGAAATAAATTATGAGTCTCTTACTATGAGCCTGTTGTTTTCAACGAATCAAAACTATATAGTGTGACAGCTTGATTCCTGAAATGAATGGCTCTTATGAGCCAGTTTTTTTTAAGGAATAGCTCAAAAACGGGACTGAATCATTATAACTGAAAAAAAAAAAATGCTCAAATTAATCAGAATAAATAAGTTGCATTGCATAGTTTTTTTTCTATTTGACAAAATCTGCAGGGTCCAGTGGGGACCAAAGGTCTGAGACCATTTCTGAAAATGCTTAAATTTGAAATACTTGTTTATTTTGTATGTCGCTTTGTTTTATTTTTGCTTTCAACAACAATAAACTCTTTTCACAAAGGTCTCCGACTTTTAGACCTCATTGAAATATGTTGATACTGCTGCTTTTCATTTAACAGCCTGTATATTAGCCTATATATATACAAATCAAAACATTTTATATAAGCAGCACAAATTGCATGCTCATTTGGATTTATCACACACATGTAATTCTAATAGTAGATGTTTTTATTTTGCAGTCGATCCGCAAGAGGTCATTTACTGTTGCCAAGTTGAATACGGAGATGTGGCCAATACTTAACATTTAGGAAAACATTTGATACATTGTTGTATCACTGAATGGTTGAATGTTTGAGATGTTGTTTGTTTGATATAGTCTGAGCCACAGCTTTTGGTTGAGTGTCATATGCAGTAAATATTTGCAATAAACTGGTTACTGGCTGTTCTGGCCTTGTGTAACAAAGTTCACATGTGTTTTTACAAAAGCCTGACAGATTTGATGCTTATTTAGTGGACTCCACCGCCATCTGTTTCTATTAAAATAGAATCTTAGCAATCATTTGCTGATCTCAGGCAGGGATTACATTGAATGTATGACGTAAAGGATTAAACGCTAATCAGCTGTTAATCCAAATTAGCGTGATGCTTTATAAAAAGCTTGTGGTATCAGCGATTACTTCGTATTCTATAGAATTAATCATCTTTATTTTCCCTGATAAGGGAAACAAGCCATGGCACATTCATATCAGGAATGGAGGAGATCTGCCAAGATGCTGTTTTTACAGGCATAATAGTGTTTTGTAGTTACACACATATGCCTTTGACTTTCTAAATAATATATTTAGAGATACATTTCATGTTACTACACCTTATGTTACTCAATGACATGACATATAGATGTGACATTGTTACTACACCACTGCGTCATTTGCAGCATGATGTTTAATGATCAATTTACAGTCAAGCATTGCATGTGATTTATTGTTACATGTTAATATTAACAGCTTTTTGTTTGAGACAAATATATTGTACATTGCTAATATGATACGTAACATTTCATATAACCGTGTGTCACACAAATTTCAGATGCTACATGAAAATACATTGTATTATATTTTTGTATATGGAATATGAGAAAATGTTATAGAAAAAAAACTGAAGGGGCTTTATGCAATACATATATTGTTTCATTTAATTTTGGCATGAAATGTAACCTGGATTTTTGACGTTTCTAAACTTCAATAAAAGTATATACAGCAGTACATCGCCTGTGTACGTCTCTATAATGCATGAAACAGGTGTGTCATAAAAATCAACGTGCTTAAGAATCCGTACTGTGGTTAAAAAAGAAGCATCTCGTTGAGCTACATCTGATCAAAAAGTATATCACAGAGTCGTTTATTTTCTTACGTAATCCAATGCATTTTGTTCTGTGATGAACTGGGAAAGCAAACGAAACAAATAGTAAGGTGATTAATTACACATCAGACTATCCAGTAATCCAAATAACCAATTAAAGGAGTTTATTTTTAACTGGATACTCTGAATTGCTCAATTTGGATGAGATATCCAGTGCAAACAAGTGTGGGACTGGATTAACTGTCCTTAGATTTTTCAAGCCAACCAATATATTGATCCAGTCAGCCACAAAAATACAGACTTACTGTTCCTGGTTACTGCTAAGCATGTAAAGTTTAGACTCTCTTTATCTCTCATATAACAGCCTATCTTCACAGCAACAGGACCCTTGAGTAAACATCCTTTCAAAATCCTTCTTAGATGTGCAAAGCATGCCAGAGATTTACTGTCCTCGGAACGAACTGTTTCTTTTCCTGTCTTTGTGAATTCATTTGGCCTCAATTTCACAACACTTGTGCACTTCCTACACGCTACTAGTTAGTGCTTGCAGCGTTCATGGTTTCTACAAAGTGATTGGCAGTTTGCTGGCTGATATAGATTTTGCAATCCACTTCTTGGCCGCTCATTCCAGACTTGTTCACACATGCTTTGGCACCAAAAAGTGCAATCAATGACTAGTGAAGATCACAAAAGATCGCTGATGTGCTTTGATATCAGATGCTGACTGACACCTACCATATATTTCACACTATTGACAGGCAATTCATCTTTTGTTTTCCATTTAGATACACCCTTAAAAAGTGTTTGCCTTTTCAGTGTGCAACCTTTTTATATGTAAGGGTCAAGATCTTTATGCTGTTAAACTGCCTTTCAAAATCATAGGACACCTCAGATTTAAAATAAGAATTATTTTTGTTGTGCTCACATTCAAACACAATGCAGTTCCTCCACTTCCCTGATAGAGAGTGCTTTCTCTTATATATATATATTGAGTATATATATAAAAATAAAAAATAATAATATTTATCAACTTGGGCCTCATGCTGCATTATTTATTTATTTCTGATAATGAAGAAAATGAAAAAGTCATCCCTGTTTGCTTACCAAAGCATTAAATCCATAGGTATTTGTCAAGAATCCTGTTCATGGACTTCCGTTCGCTTGCCACCAGAGGCTGCCCTCCTGTTATATAGACACTCACACCACACAGACTGTCACACATCACCCTGGACTACATTTCCCATGTTTCATTGCACTGATTACGCACTCACCTGCAGCCAATCACACACACTTTAAACACAAGGCCCTAACCACTGTTCAGGGCAGAGTATTGTTTAGCGTAATCGCTGTGTTAGCGATAGCTACATCACGGAGCCAGTTCCCAGTCCTAGTTCTCAGTCTAGTCTTGTTTAGGCAAGCAAAGTCCGATTCATTTCCGCGAACCGGTTCAAAAAGCAGATTCTTCGGTTCCTGACGTCATCAAGCAATAACGTCTCTACGCATTTCTTTTCTAACATCTCAGTGCCATGTTGTATCAATGAAAAATTCAAACAAGTTATTTGTGTCAACTAGGGGTTGAACGACTTCTGATTTTTTGAAGTCGAATTTTATGTGATGAAAGTCGAGTCGAAGTCGAACAGTCGCTGATGACGTCATTCATGAACAAATAAGTCTGGAGCTGTGACAAACACCTTGTGCACAACTATGGCATATGACACAGCGCTGCCCACATACATGGCTGTTGCTCCTATAACAGCTTTTTTATCAGTTATTTTGTCTT